GTGTGTGTGTGTGACTGAGTGAGTGAGTGAGTGTATGTGTGTGTGACTGAGTGAGTGAGTGTGTGAGTGTATGTGTGTGTGCGTGTGCGTGTGCGCAGATAGTCAAGGAGCAATGGAAGAAAAATAAAACGATGTTTGTTATTGCATAATTTATGAGAGTGATCGTTGCTTTTCCCACAGTCTCTTTCAATATTTTTTAAATTCGTGACTGACGCGGTTCGTTCATTTTATTTGCATTTACTTGTTATCATTTATTTTTATCGAGTTATTTCTTCCTAAAGTTTCTTCTTTTTTTGTATTTTTTCTCATCTGTTTTCTTCCAGCTCTTGGTTATTTTCCTCTCCTTCTAATCTTCGTCTTTTTTTTTTACTTATTTAAATCTCCATAATCGTACTTGTATTTTTTTTTTCTAACATCTCTATTCTTCCAGTTCTCATTTACTTTGTTCTATCTTTCTCCTTATCATCATCGTTCTACTTTTCTTTATTTACCGCCAAAGAGAGAGAAAAAAGAAGAGAACGGAACGAAAGGAGACATAGCAAATGGGGGATAATGGTTAAAGATGGGAAGGAATGATAACGGTAAAAGATGGAAAGAAAGTGAATAAGGGAAGGAAAGAGGAGGAAGAAAAAGAAAGAAGAAAGGCGGGACGAAGAAGGAAAGTGATAAACGGAGGAAACACACAAAAAAGGAACAACGGAAATATATGAGGTGAACTATAGAATTATAGCAATAGAAAAAGGAAGTGATATAGAATAGAAAATAAGGAGAGGAAGAGACCGGATTAGAGGCAGTAGCTAGATGATGGTAGGGGAGAAGGAAGATGAGAAGGAGAGAAGAAAAGAAAAGAAAAGATGAGAGAGAGAGAAAAAGAAAGAGAAAGAAAGAGAGCGTGAGAGAGAAAGAGAGAAGTGAATAGAGGAGAAAATTGAAAGAATAAGAGAGAGAGGTGAAGAGAAAAGAGAAAGAGAGAGAGAGAAGTGAAGAGAAGAGAAAGAATAAGAGGAGAGAGGATTCAGCTCCTCCGTGGGCGTGGTTGGTTCGGTTCAGTGTACTACGAGACAGGTTGGAAGCACTGTGGGCGTCAGAGGGGGGGTAGGGGGAAGGGGGTGGGGTAGGGGGGAAGTTTGGTGGGTAGCGGGGAAGAGGGAAGGAGAGGGGTACTTAAGCTTGGGTATAGGGGGGGGAGGGTGAGGCATGGGATGCAATACAGGCGTAGGGCGAGGGATGGGGAGGAGGGGAGGAGGGGGGAGAACTAAGGTATAGGTAAGGGGGGAGGGGGGGGATGGAGGGGGAAGGCATGGGTATGGGGGAGGGGGATGGAGGGGGACAGGGGACCAGATTATGGGTATGGTAGACAGGGAAGGACACGGAGACATGGGCATGGGGGAGAGGGAAATAGAAACAAGGCATGGGTATGGGGAGGGGAGGGGGGAGGAGCAAGAGGTATGGGCGCGGAGAGGGGGGAAAGGGGTAGGAGTAGGGGATGAGGGGTGGGGTATGGGGAAAGGGAAGGGGAAGATGGGGGGGGAGGAGAAGGGGGGGTGGAAGAGAGACAGGATAAGGGCACGGACATAAGCAAGGAAGGAGAGGAGGGGGGGGAGGTGCATTGGGTATATGAGGTAGAAAAGGGAGGTAGGGGAGGGAGGGGGGGGGAGGAGGGATCGGCGAGCTGGCTGGAAAGAAAAGGGTCTGTTGATGGAGGTGATAATGGCAACGGGTGTGATTATTTTCTCCTGCTATTTATGGGTTTGGTGATGCTGGGTGTGAGGGGAAGGGAGGGGAGGGGAGGGGAGAGGAGAGGGAAGGGGTGGGAGAGGAAGGGAGAGGAGAGGAGAAGGGAGGGGAGAGGGAAGGGATGAAAGGGGATGGGAGGGGAGAGGGAAGGGAAGGGGAGAGGAGAGGGGAAGGGAAGGAGAGAGAGAAGGGCACTTGATTATGGAATGATCGACTCTGCTAGGATTTTTAAATTGTTTTGTTGATTATATATCCTTGTTTATGTTTTTTTTTTTGTAGTCTGTAAGGGTGTTAAGAGAGAGAGAGAGAGGAGAGTGTGTGTGTGTGTGTGTGTGTGTGTGTGTGTGTGTGTGTATGTGTGTGTGTGTGTGTATGTGTGTGCGTGCGTGCGTGCGTGCGTGTGTGTCTGTTTGTACGTGAGTGGGGAAATGTGTCTTAGTATTGTAGTTTTCTTAAATGATGATAGAATATGTACAGACAGGATATATATATATATATATATATATATATATATATATATATATAGAGAGAGAGAGAGAGAGAGAGAGAGAGAGAGAGAGAGAGAGAGAGAGAGAGAGAATAGGAGGGCAGCCCTTGGACACTGTCCGAAAAATTGCGACCGCTTATTAACAACAGATCGCCATCGGAATTCGCCCATCTGATCGGTAATTGATTCCTGGGCCGCGCCTTTACCCCCCCCGCCCCCCCCTCTCTCTCTCCCCTTACCTCTTGTTCCTTCTCCACTCTATTTCCCTTTGCTCCT